AGAGAGAGAGAGAGAGAGAGAGAGAGAGAGAGAGAGAGAGAGAGAGAGAGAGAGATGAGCGATACAAGTTTGGCTGTTCCGTACCTGTGAGGTTGTTGCGCAGTTCCACGAAGAAGAAGATAGCGGCCACAGCCGCGGAGTTTGACCACGGAGTAACGAAGGAGGGAGAGAGACCAGATAGAGGGAGAGATTGAGGAAAGAGAGGGAAGTTAGCCGAGGAGGAGGAAGGAGAGACGATTAAAAAAGAAAAAAAAAGAAAAAAAAAGAAAGAGAAAGACGACAGCAAGGTGAAAGGAGGCGAGGAAGGTGAAGGGAAGAAGAAGGTTGGTGAGGGAAAGAGAAGCCGGCAGCCATAGCTGACCGAAGGGTTGACCGGGAGAGTTGACCGGAGGTGTTGACCGACGTTGACTGGAGTTGACCGGGGGTCGACCGGGGGTTGACCGCAACGTTGACCAAGCCTTCAGCCTATCCCTCGCCCTATGGATGTGCACACACCCTGTGGTACTTGCTGAGTCCAGTCTGTCTTTCTCTTCTTTTTGCATTGAGTCTCTTCTGTCTAGGTGATAGTACTCTGTGGATGAAGGATAGGGCCTTGTTGACCAAACCCACACGGGCTGAGTAGGGCTAAAGACTGTGTTTGACGACTCGACTGTCCCGAAGGACACAAACCCTCCGAAGGACCGGTACTGACCGGCGGGCTGCTCGGTGTGGCACGGTAGGCCCAAAATCCGAGTTGTGGACTGCACAACAGGTCGTCTAATTGTTGAGAGACCTGCTGATCGCGTCGTCCTGTCTGCGACGTTAAATAATTCCTGAGGAGTTACGGGGGATCTCCTTAAATGCCTCCTGATCAGCAACAAGTCTAGTAGTGACAGCCATAGTATAGGTCTAGGCTAGAGACCCTAGTTGGCAGGATCCCTGTCCGGATTCTGTGAGTCTTAGATTGTGTCAGTAGGTTGTCAATGAGGGGTCAGAGTCTAAGTGGTGAGGAGTGGAATCGTTCTGATTGTGCACCTATCACCATGGTGGACTTGCGTAGTGGGAAGAGTACTAACCCCTACACTCAGGAGCAGCAAGAGAAGATGGCCGCCTTAGTGAGAGAAAGTAAGGAAAGGAAGTTGAAGGCAATCGCAGAGGAGCAGGCGGCGAAGAGGAAAAAATTGGAGGAAGAGATGATGAGGATTCAGCAGCAGGAGGAAGAAAAGAGAAAGGCTGCGGAAGAGGAAGTAGCAGAAGAAGAGCAAAAAGAGAGAAGACGTATAGAAGAGAAAGGAGAAAGTAGTGGCACGGCGAATGAGGACGCCGCAATGGAGAAGAAGATAAGTGAGTGGGCCGCTAATTTATCGTTGGGGGAGGATGAGGAGGCAGAGTTCTATGTGACCCAAGACGAGAGGGATGCGTTAGCCCAAGAGCTAGCAGTAATGGACGACCCTCTGGAACGGAGGGAAAGAGAAGAAGAGAAAAAGTTAGAGTGGAAGCTAAGGATGAAGAGGGAGAAGAAGAGAAGGAGGGACGAAGTTAACAGGCTGACCGAGGAGGTGGCAAAAGGGATTGCCGACAAGAGCTCCAGGCGCAGCCAGACATCTCTGCCAAAATGGACAAGATGTTAGGATATATGGAAGTGTTGAGTGCGGCCTGGTTGGAGGAGCGTCAAACCAATAAGGGTCAGGATGTGACCCTACGTGCCATGCGGTTAGGGTTTAGAGATTTTGCGGGCGATGTGGTTACCCACGTTGGAGGCGAAGTTAGGCGATTGAGGGACAGCGTGGGGAAGTTCTGCGAGGGCGCCATCGAAGGGGCCAAAGCGATAGCTGCTGTAGAGGGTGAGGCCAGGCCCCGTAAGGAGCCTGTTAAGCTTGAAGTCCCAGATGCCTATGGGGGGAAGGAGGAGAATTTTGATAACTGGGAGGCGAGCGTCAACAACTACGTGTACTTACAACACATTCGGACCGACGAACAAGTCCTCGTTGCCTTCCAGGCCCTCAAAGATGAAGCGGCCAGTTTTGCAAGATCCCTTGTGCGCGCAGTCGGTTGTGAAAACAATGTGGTTGCATACTCCAAAATCACCCCCCTTCCTCAATTCTTCAAGCTTTTGAGGGAGCGATTTGCTGATCCAACGAGAGGTGTCAGGGCCTTTGACAAGTTGCAGACGATCCACTCGCGACAGTGGAGGACTTAGTAGCCGTCCCAGACCATGGGGTCACTGAGACCCAATTGGTCCAGTTGTTTTATCGTGCCATGCCAGAGCCCCTGTGTGGGCACTTCTTTGACAAGTCTCAACAGGCCGGCATCACGTATGATGTGTTGAGTAGGGAAGTCGTCCTGTTCGAGTCAAAGTCCATGCTAGTGTCCACACTCTGGCATAAGGACCTGGACAAGGGGAAGAAGTGGAAAGGCCGTACCATGTCAGGGCAAGCGAGGGCCAAGGATCATATGATCCTTACCTTAGAGGAAGGTGGTACAGATGAGTTCCCATACAGTCAGATCGAATGGGGCCTTGGGGAGAAGGACAGTAGCGTGGGACAGAGGAGGTCCTATGCTGCCGTCGCGGCTGGAGGGAGGCCGCAAGGTAGAGGAGGAGGCCAGGGCCAAAGGGGCCAGACCATGGGAGGCCGAGGA